CATAGAGCTGTTTTTCAGTTTTATATTGAAGTTTTCTTTTTTTTTTTTTATGCATAGAGTGAAAAATGAAATAAACCCAACCAAGCTGTCACAATGAATGAGTTTGAGGCCCTGACCTGCGTAGAACTCCCCCCAGGAGCGAAGCGTTGAGGCACTCAGGGGGTGACAAACGTCTCTGGACTTCAGCCACGGTAACCTTGTACTTGGATGTGGAGCTCAACAAGGAAAGACGGCCTGGCACGGAGCAGAACACCTCTGTTGGGTTTGACACCATGCCCAGCAGGGACTCCTTCTGGAAGGGAAGGCCCAGTGTGTTACCTTTGGGTAGTGTGACAGGGCCTGCAGGGAAAGCAAAAATCAATGTGTAAGCTAAAGAGAAAATCACAGAAAAAACAACATAAAAAAAAAAAGTATTTTGATTGGGGGATGGTGAAAATTTCCATTATGCACTTTTCCACTTTATGTACATAAGCGCTAACCTTAATCCTTCTTTAAAAAGGGGGATTTTTTTTTTTTTTGCTTGTAATCACAAGAAAGAAAGTGCGTGTGCAGCTCCTTGCTACTAAGAAAAACAGTGCCTATCGAAAGAGTGTTTACAAGAAACATCTCAAACCTTTTTGAAGTATTTGTGGTTTTGGAAACGCTGAACGCCTGATGGTCGGCCTTTATTGCAAACAGGTATGACTGCCGCTCGTCGGAGCCCTATAGCTCCTAAATTATTTATTCTCAAAAACACTTGTGCTTTAAACTACGGGGTTTTTATTAACCAAAATTAGGAAAAATATATATGTGTATTTCACAGTTGTTTTTTTTTGTTATTAGTATTAAAACACAGAAAAACTTACAAGCTTCAGACAAACAACATGAAAAAAAAAAAAATAGCACACCACACCACACTACAAAATACAGCTATCTTCATCCTCACCAGCAAGAATGCCCCCCTGATAATAAGTCCTCTGTAAGCGATCAAGGTTCCTGCCACCTCGCAGTCCTAATACTGAGACAGAAATCACAAAGTCACATGGGTGGTTTTTTTTTTTATATTCTCCACTGGGACACATGCCTGGGAATGGCATGCTATTGTTTACATGGGGGAAACCTAGATTGCCTATAGCGTTCCCTTGAGCATGGGAACAATATAATGAGCCAGCACTGATTTGTGTTACAAATGCAGACGAGGTGCTTTATTGTGCTGCACAAAACATTTTCTGCATGACATATTGTCCGTATCTATCTTTCTATGTATCTCTCTATGTATCTATCTGTATCTATCCATCTAGCTACGTTCAAAATAAATAAATAACTCTAATATATAATATTGCTCCTTATCTTCTGCTCAAACACTGCAGTGTAATAGAGCCCGATGACAAAACAACACATATGAGTTTCTCCCTGCAAACAGCTCATGCCTGAACAAACTACCAAACTGCCCTTCTCATGCAAGCCTAATGCCACACCCCAAAAAAAATAAATAAAAAAAAGCAGGTCCTGCATAGCACTAAACACAGTTTCAAGATCAACTCATAAATCCCTGTTCGTGAACAGAAAAAACAAGAGCGGGGGGGGAGTGCAAGCTTAAAAAAGGCCTAAAGATGATCCAAAGCTTTCCTCTTCTCTCTCAGTCAACACGGAGGTTGCCAGATTGCTCAATTTTCTTGTCATGTCAGCCACAGCCTGACGAATTTGAAAGGGGATCCGTTCTTTCTCACTGGGAATCCATTCAAGCACCTTCACCGGCAGAACAGGCGCAGGATCACATCGAGATTAGACGAGCGCGTCTCATGGCTGCGAGGATTATCGTTGTGTGCAGTGTTAGTACAAATAGAAAACTCCTCTAACGACTGAATGCCCTGGCATGCCACTACGAAACATGGCATCTCTAAGTCTGCACAGAATGAAAAGCAGCACAAGCCCTTGAAGTCAATTTCCAGTTCCTGTTAGTAATTACTGCATGGTTGTACAAAGGCATACAGTTTGTACCCCAGGCAGAGTTTACCAACAGAGCACTTTTTTTTTTTTTTGGGGGGGGGGGGGGGGGGGACTCAGTTTCTTGTCTAACAGTAATAAACTTGGCATAACTCACCCTTTTTGATGACAGTCTGATCTGCCATAATAATACTGTGGTCATCTACGTGCTGAATGAGGAAAAAAGAAGAAGCAGATGAGCACAATTTATTTTGGAGGAGAACAATCAGCAGCTGTCCTGTGCAAAGACTAAACTAATATAATTTGTTGTGTTCACTTTATTTTATTTATTGTTTATTTTGTTCTGGTCCACTAACTTACCTGAACTTCGTCTAGCGCGTGACCCATGTCGTGCATCCCCATGTTCTCGCCCATCACAGCGGACTCCAGGCTGTGCGCGTGCGGGGACAGCAGCTCCGGCCGGCGGAACCCTTCCCTCCTCACCCCGGATGTGCCTCCCTCCAGGCCCAGGATCTGACTGGCCAGCCCGCTCCTCCCCAGCCCCTCCTGGGCCTGTCGGCCGGGCCACGGCTGCTGCTGGTTCGACGAGGGCGACTGGTGTATGGAGTTCATGTTGAAGGGGTCGCCGAGGTGGGAGTACGGGTCGCCGGACTGCGGGTAAGGGATGGGCTGGTAGGGCGGGGGGAAGTAGGGGGGCTGGAAGTCCGAGCTGGTCGAGTGCGAGAGGGAAGGAGACGGACTGTAGAGGTGCTGGCTGACCGCTGGCAGGTGAGGCAGCCGCGGGTTCCCATTGCTGTTCCCGTCATGCCTTTCCTGAGGGACGGAGGAGAAGAGGGCTGAGAGGGGAGCCGAACAGATGGCGAGGGAGGGGGGCACATTTTGTGGCTCAGGAGAATCAGGTACATGTCAAAATAAGGTCATGGATCAAGAACATTTTATTAATACTATTATTACTATTATTTTTTTATTGAATTGTCTCGTTTTAGCCCTATGAATTTATTTAGTCCAAATCTTTGAGAACTCCTCCTGTTCAGACAAATTAAATATTTTAAATAGTGTGCTTTCTCTCTCTCTTCCAGTCTTGGATTAAAAAAAAAAAAAAAAAAAGTCAACTCACAGTAATTTGAAAGCAAACCTTCCCCCCCACTCCTCCATCCTGTTTATTTGTTTGTTTGTTTGTTTGTTTGTTTGTTTGTTTAAGTTTTTTTTCCACCCAAAAAGAACTCACCTCGCAGTCATCTTCATATTTGACGTTGTCGGCTAATTTCCACAACATGCTGCTTCTCCGTTGCAAAAAATAAAAATAAAAATAAAAAGAACAAGGAACAAACAAGTGAAGAAAGATGGGGCGTGTAGAGTTAATCCAGGTGTGAGGAAATGAGGGTCCTCCTGGTGAACATGAACCCACTTCAGCTGAGACGACTGGAGAAAGTTCGTGGGTGCGAGCTGAAGCGCGCACTGGACCGACAGACACAGACAGGTCGGACTCAGATTTTCCACAGCCACTGAGAGAAACGAGTCTCTGCCCAACAAGAACCCCCCCTCCTCTCTCCGGTCTCTGCTGATCTGCTGCGGAGAGAAGCCAAACTGCTGCATAAGAAACTTAACTCCCTCTTATGGACAGAGCAGCGATGTTCAATCTTATTGGTCCAAAGAAACGAGTCCCGAGCGGTTTTCTTTTCGCGGAGTGGGCGGAGCCCTGCGTCACGACGTCGCTGACAGGTACACAGAAGGGCGTGCTGATTGGCGGGATGATGGTCCAATAGGAGCTCGGTCCGTCTGTGGAGTGGAGGAGATGGAAACCCCTGAACCTCAGTCACGCTTCGTGTTTTAAAACCTCTCAGAAGTTGTTTGGGCTCTTCACTTCAAGCTCATGTTTTATTATATTTGATGTGCACTCATGTGTTTTGTTTTAGATGTTTTTTTTTTTTTTGTTTGTTTTTCTAACCGTTAACCACTCTCCGTTCATATAAAAATCCAGTTTATTATTGAACAGCTCTTTGACCTACATGACGTGGGAACCAGCACGTGGGATTCTTCCTGCTGACTGGTTCTGTGTGAAGACTTGTAGATTAGTTTGTTTCTCCATGGTTCGGTTCCAGCGTTTTATCGGTTATATTCTAACAACATGACACTTTCATTTCAGATATCACTTTATACTTACGTAAATAATAATTACCACCAGTTATAAAACTCATATTAAACATTGTTGATAAACTGAACAGGCTCATTTACAAGGTCAAGTGCTGTAACTCTTTTTAAATTACTTAATCTCTCTTAAAAAAAGAATGTGCAAATGCTCTTAATGACAACATTCAGGTTAAATACTGACAAATATATATATATATATATATATATATATTTGTCCAGATAAAGATGTCTATTTGTTCATTTCCTTTAGTCCATCCTGGGACTACATTTATAGTTTGCCCAATACTGTATTATGTGTAAAAATACACACACACACACACACACACACACACAAGATCGGAAGAGCACA